AAATACACAAAGAAGGCATACCTCTCAGACCCATAGTCAGCTCCAGAGGAGCACCACTACAAAACCTAGCCAAATACCTAGCAAAGCAGCTACAGCCCCATGCTGAAACAGCAGCTTCACATGTACAAAACTCATACCACTTCTTGGAAATGATCAAAGATCTACACGTGGAGCAAGAAGATCTGCTTGTAAGTTTTGACGTGGTTTCCCTATTCACTCAAGTCCCGATAAAAGAAACCCTTGAAATCATCAAAAATAAATACCAACCAGCCAAACACCTCATGGAACTAACAGAACACTGCTTAACCAACACATATTTCATATACAAAGGACAAAGATACAAACAAATAGAAGGAGCCCCCATGGGATCACCACTGTCACCTGTCATTGCCAACCTGTTCATGGAAGAATTCGAATCCAGAGCCCTGGCCAATGCCATCCTCAAACCCAAACTATGGTTAAGATACATCGATGACACATTCGTGATTTGGCCCCATGGACAAGAAAACCTAAACAATTTCCTAACACACCTAAACAGCGCACACCCCAAAATCAAGTTCACCATGGAAACAGAAACAAACAAACAACTACCATTCCTAGATGTACTAATCTACAAAAAAACAGATGGCACACTAGGACACACCATATACCAGAAGAAAACCCACACCAACCGCTACCTCAACGCCCAATCCCACCACCACCCAGCACAGATAAACTCCGTGGCTAAAACACTAATTACCAGAACCAAACGCCTGGCAGACAAGACACACATTAAGGCTGAACTATGCACCCTGACTAAAGTACTGACAGCCAACGGCTTCCACAAAAGCAAAATCACCAGCTTGATCCACAAAAACACACTGAAACATAATAGAGACCCAGAAGATGAACAGACCTATGGAACAGCTGTCCTGCCCTACATAAGAGGTACTACAGACAAAATTAGTAAGGTACCACACAGACATCACATCAGGACTGCCTTCAAAACAGACAGAAAAATAGCAGCCATCCTTAGCAACCCCAAAGATAAAATTGACCTGGAAAACCAAGGCGTATACGAAGTCCCCTGTGCATCATGCCCGGCCACATACATTGGACAGACCAATAGAAGAATAAGTACCCGCCTGGATGAACACAAAAATGCAGTCAAAAAGCTGGAACACACTTCCTCACTAGTCCAACACATGGAAGCTACAGGTCATAGCATCAACTTCAATGGCACCAAAACCCTGGCCACTATGGAAAACCCTAGTCACAGAGTCATCAGAGAAGCCATAGAGATTGAAAAAAGACCAGAAAGCATGAACAGAAGAGATGATTCCACCAGGCTGTCAATCATTTGGAAGCCTGCACTCACAAACAAAAAAATCTCCACACCACAAGCCAGGCAAACACCTGGGCACAAACAGATCCCCCCTGATACCTCCAGCTCAAACACACCCCAACCAGGCACCCAGATGAAACCCAGCTTCCTAACTAATGATAGCCGTCCATTTACCCGAAGCCAAGCTGCACTAAAGACCTCCATTAAAGTAACACAATGCTGCCAGCCAATCAAGATACAAAAAGAGCCAAAAAACAGACAGAAGATATCAGAAACACCCATCAAGCAGAACACAGCAAACTCCGAGACCAATAAACACAGACCAAGACTCCCAACCAATCAGGATGAAGAAAAAACCATTCCTGCACAGCAATAGGCTGCCCCAAATTTAAATCTGAAACCACTGTAAAAGTCTGACCCACAGACGGACACAATACAGAAGCCTGATGATGGCAGATGAGATTCTGCTGAAACGTTGCTACAACTTTAAAAGAACTACAATGACGTGGGAAAATACCCGAACCAAGCCGAACACCATACATGTAAGTACCCGCGAAAACTTAAGAAAACATATATATATATATACACACACACACACACACACACACACACACACACACACACACACCCTAACATATAAGTACATATAAATATTAATCACTGTCCATCATTAATACATAGCAGAAAGAGGAAGCGGAACAGTTTGCAAGGTTGATATGGTATCACTTATATGTGGTATAAGCAGAAGCCTGTTCGTGTGATTGTATGCAAAGGATATGATTTTATTATTTATGGTGAAAGAATAATATAAGTAGTGAAGGATACTTTTATTTCCTTCATTTAATTCATCTTTATTATTTATTTCCATGTCCTTTACCATTTACCATTTGGATCTATAGATACCAGTTTTGGTCAACGAAAGCTTACATGGAATGATTTTTAGTAAAAATAAGAAAGAACACATTAGATTATCACTCTCCATTATAGCTATGCCATGTGCAGTTTCCCTACTAATCCTAAAGGTACAATAATCAACCATTTTAGCCACAATGTGCCACAAGTACAATCTAGGTCTTACAAGCCAACATGCTCTTGTTTGCATCTCACTAGCTGGGATGCTTATATATTCCTAATATATTCACCCATATGGATACAACTTTTGTAATGGTCTATCATCAAGTGTGATTTTTTTCTGAACCCCTCGGTTGACTTTCATTCACAATATAGCATTCTAGTAAGTGGAAGGACAAACATGATTCTGATCATTCTTTCTACCTTGATAATTAATCAGCAAATACATAGATGTACTTCACGGTATATTTTGAAGAACCAGCCAACGCATATGAAGTAATCTAAAGAGTTAATTTGTTAAAAGGGAACAGTCCAAAAATGAAAGTGTCGAATCAGAATTTTGGGATCAAGTACAGATTTAGCTCTTGGCCTAAATAGTAGCAATTTCCTTTTTTAAAATGTCCCATAGTTAACTATAATAACACATAAAGTTTTGGAAATGTGACCATGAAATGGAAGCTGAACTGATCTGGTTTAGATATATCAAAATAGAATCACAGCTATTTGGTATCCTCGGTTTCAGATTCTTGAAAGTATGTATAAATGACTGTTTCCTTGGGTGTTTGGAGCATTTTTTAACTTGTGGATTCCAAACAGTTTTTTTATAAAATAAGAGTACCTATTATCTTTGTCAAAGCAGGTTAAATGTTGGGTCTGTAGGATATTGACCATGGTATTGTGTGCCTGGCTGTGTTTCCAATCAATAAGCAATTACTCTGACTCCTTATTTTCAGATACTGCTCAAGACTAAGGAACAAAAAGTAAGCCCAAGGGATATTGCTGAGAAGATTGCCAGAAATATTCCAAACAATGATTGCATTGAGAAAATTGAAATTGCTGGACCTGGTACAGTTACTCTATCTTTAATATAAGTAGAAACAGAATTTGCTAGCAATGTATATTATAATAAAATTAAGTTAACAGTATCATGTTTTGGCACTTGCTGAACATGCTTCTCTCTCCCCATAACTAATTATTGAGTAAGTCTGTTAATAGAAGAGTGTATCTATTTGGTATAAGTATGCATAGTTTTTTTGGCATACTTTCATTTGTCTTGAACTAAAGATTTATATTGTGATTACAAATATTATACTAATCTGCTGCATTGTCTACAAATGTTGTGCTAATCTGCTGCGAAATATTTCATTTGTAAAGAAAATAGATGTGGATATGTGGATACATTCTTAATGACCATTTTAATTTTGATGACTCTAAAGGTTTCATCAATGTACACTTGAAGAAAGATTTTGTATCCAGACAGCTGAGCAGTGTGCTAATGAATGGAGTTCAACCACCCGCTTGTGAAAGAAAAAAGGTGAACTATAAATGGCTGTTGATATCTTATCTTGTCCAATAAGTTCATTTTGGCTTTGCCAAAATTGAATGTTTTTTTAAATATGTTGTTTTATTTGAGCCTCTGTACAAACACTTTCATAACAATGAAACAGGTCTTTCATAGTATTCCAGGAAAGAGAGCTAGTGACAGAAAAATCAGCTCATGCTTATAAGCATAGAAGAATATCTGTGACCTCCTTTAGATTTTGATCCAGATTAAAAATACAAGCTTCCAAAAATTCTGTCCTTTTAAATATAAAATTGTGTTATTTTCTTTTCAAAGGAACATTTGTACAAAACACATAATTTATGTAGAACCTGAACATACAGTATGTATTTCGTTTATTTGATTTTTATCCCACCTTTTTTATAGATAAGGTGGCAAACATACATAAACTCTTCTCCCATTTTCCTCACATGGACAACCCTGTGAAGAAATTGGTCTGAGAGATGATGATTTGGTCCAACGTCACTCAGCCAGCTTTTATGCCCAAGGCAGGACTAGGACTCACAGTCTCTTGGTTTCTAGGCCAGCATCTTAACCGCTACACCAAACAAGTTGTATATGTTGTCTGGTTAGTGCATACATGGACTCCACAGATAATGGAATGTGTATTTGTGTGCGTGTGTGTGTATGTAGATACATAGATATAGATATATAGATATACTGTATGTAGTAAACATGTAGAGCAGTATATGTTCATACTTGTTGAGGTAATTCCCCATTAGGAGAATGAGAGTACACAGGGAGACGTAGTGAAAGTAGTGAAGAATAACACACAACCAGCAGACAGATACACTGTATAGTAAAATGTAGGTTTTTACTTCCAGTAAAACGGTTAAGCAAAGTTCAACGAACAGTCCAAGTGATTCACAGTTAAAGCAGTCAGTTTTCAGTCCAGGGATAATCCAAATAACAAAGTCCAGTATCAAAAAACAGTTCAGTAAAAGACTCACATCAAATCCAAGAATAACGACGATCAGCAACAGTCAATAGGGAAATGCAGGAACAGCAACACTCTCAGAAACAACAGAACAGAACAAGCCAGTTTTCTGGCTCCATCTTATGGCTGTTTGAGAAACCATACCCAATTACAATTTCAGCATTCCCTTAAAGAGACAGTATTAAAATGTCTATCCTGGTTTATATATTTTCAAACCCAACTGTTAGGTGACTTACATTCCTAACAATACTTCACTCACAATAGCTGAGTATATATACCGTGTTTCTCCAACAATACGGCCTCCACCAATAGGAAGGCCCAGCATGTTTTTTGGGCATAAAATCAAATTAAGCCCCTCCCCCCAAATTTAGGCCTATTTTAAAATATGCAAAATAAGGGGGAAGGGCGGGGAGACTTGCCGTTAGGAGCGCCCGGCAGGCCGGAATTCCTCGCCACCAGCCGCTCCTAACGGGCGATCATGGCCAAGCACAGAGAGCTCCCTACTCCCACCTTTGCTGCAGACACCTTTGGCACCCGCCGCTGTTGCTTTCCCTTCTGCCCATTACGCCGCCACGTTTGGAGTTGCCGCTTCCGTGTTTGGAGTGCCGTCGCCATTTGGAGCTCCAAACGCGGAAGTGGCAGCTCCAAACATGACGGCGGGCGATCTTTTTATTTTGGTCCGCGCGAAGTTCAAAGCGAGCAAGAGAGGGAGACTGCGATGCCTCCATCCGAGATGGCAACCTCACTAGTGGATCACAACGTGGCTGGAAGCCCGAATCGGCGGGATACGATGGCGATCTTTTTGGAGCGAGAGGAAAGGGAG